TCTCATCATGGATGACTTCCGTCAAGGCGGACTTCCGGCAGCTTTCGGGACTACTGTTCTTCACCGCCCAGCACACGTTTGATGTTCCGGAGGAAGTAAGGAAGCAGAAACTTTCAAAGTTTACCAAGAAATACATGATTTGGCAAGCGATCTGCTCATGTGGCAGACGGAGAGCGCCGTTCGTGACTACCGGGACTGTAAACGGGGAGATCTACCTCAAGGAGTGTCTACAGAAGCGTCTGCTTCCTCTGTTGAAGCAACACGAGGGCTCTACGATCTTCTGGCCGGATCTAGCTTCGTGCGTGCCACTATTCAAATGTTGCCCTGGAGCGGGTCACTTTCGTACCCAAGGACATGAACTGTATCTCGGAACCTGGCCGTATATAAAGTTGCTGTCTTGAGCAAAGTTGTTCAGGTGACCAAGACCTTTCGGATAATGGTCATATTACTTCAGAACTCTCTCACTACACGGTGCTGATGTGCACATGAACTTCCTGAATATGTTATGTCTCGAAAGCGTGTCCATATAAGATGTGCAATGTGAGAACAGAAACCGGAAGAGGGCTGATGTGTAGAAGCCGCAAATCGATTTCGGCATTTTAAAATCCAAGATGGCGGTCGTAGGTTAAAAAAAAACTGTCAAATACCCTACAATATGGGTATTTCTGGTAAGGGGACGACGTATAGAGGGCGGAAATCGATTTATGAGCAAACTACAGTCAGGAATCCTTATTGTCAGATTCCTTAGCCTCCGGCCTCTACACGTCGTCATCCTTCTGGAAATACCTATATTGTAGGATATTTGCCAGTTTTTCTTCAACCAATGGCCACCATCTTATATTCCAAAATGTCGTCTAGCATCGATTTCCGACCTCTACACGTCGTCCCCTTTCCAAAAATACTCATATTTTAGGGTATTTGACAGTTTTTTTTATCCGATTGCCGCCATATTGGATTTTAACATGGCAGCTGGCATCGATTTCCGGCCTCTACACGTCGTCCCCTTTCGAGAAATATCCATATTGTAGGGTATTTGACAGTTTTTTTTAACCGATTTACGCCATATTGGATTTAAAAATGGCTTCTGGCATCGATTTCCGGCCCGGCCTCTACACGTCGTCCCCTTTGCAAAAATACTCATATTTTAGGGTATTTGACAGTTTTTTTTGAACCGATGGCCACCATGTTGGATTTTAAAATGGCGTCCGAAATCGATTTACGGCCTCTACACATCATCCCTCTTCCGATTTCGGTTATCACATTCAGAGTTGCGACCGATCACAATCACGCTCATCAAACAGCTGATGGTAGTAACGCTTTGTACATTCCTATCAATGTGCTCGTTGAAGCTCTCTCCATGACCATCCATCAAGTTGACGAAAGAAGTATAAAGCAACTGGTGAATGTCGTCTTCTGTTGTGATCCATCATCAATCTGGTCATTCCTGACAATCACGACACTCATCTGTGCTCGTTTTGAAGCAGTTGCTGCTTTGCTTGCTTATGTGAGTGAGCCTAACAGCTTCCGTTTAATGTTGCCTGCTTCGTTTGTAACTCACACACTCGCGCCTGCCGAGACGAACTTGGAATGCGTAGGCATTGTTTTCATTTTCTTCTGTCGTTTCGTTTTTTCTCATGATCGTACTGCAGAAGTCTTCACTGTTTTCGTTGTGCTTTTCACTATCAGCAGCGAGTGTAACGTTTTGCTTGTGAGCAGCGACCATTACTGGTGATTGTTGTTTGCCATGGCTCTAACTCTCACTGCGTGACAAAACGATCTGTCACCGATAGTCGGTTGATGCGAAGACGAGTGTCATGTGAGTGTCATGATATTTTGCATCACTGTTCACATTGCACATCTTATATGGACAAGCTTTCGAGACATAACATATGAAGAAAGTTCATGTGCACACTAGCACCGCGTAGTGAGAGAGTTCTGAAATAATATGACCGCCATCCGAAAGGACTTGGTCACTTGAACAATTTTACTCAAGACAGGTTCTCGAGATACAGTTTATATAAGAAGTTCACATGCACACTAGTGCTACGTAGTGAGACAGTTCTGAAATTATATGACCACCATACAAAAGAACATGATCACCTGAACAAGTTTGCTCAAGACAGTAACCTTCTATATGGCACAGGACGTTGAGATACAGCTTATACAGGCAACTTATGTGCACACTAGCGCTGTGTAGTGAGAGATTTATGAACTAATATGGCCACCATCCGAAAAGACTTGGTTCCTTGAACAACTTTGCTCAAGACAGCAACTTTCTGTATGGCCAGGATCACGAAATATTCTATGTTGGACCTAAGATCCATGTATTATAGCGCCAGTCATAAGTAACATAAAAGTGAAGCGCTTCTAGCGGCGTAGTTCCCAAATAAACCTGAATCCAATGACACAGGCTTGTTGGTCTATTCTAGTAGGGTAGGATGGTGCAAAACGCACCGTTTAAGCAAAATCGTCAATTGCTGGCGTATGGAAGCTAAAATCAAGAAGAAAGTAATGGTGTTTGGTTCATTACCATGTTTTCTACGAAGATCAAGTGATTTCGAACTATAGAACGATGCATTTTCATGATTTTCAAGGTATTTTATAAATTGGTTCCAATATGATAGCGGGGCAAAACGCCTGATTCATGGTGATCTGACGCCTGATGATTATTCCTTTATGTTACATCAGAAATAAGGTCGCAATAGAGTGTTAAGCTGTGATTCATTAAGTAAAACATCTAAAAAAATACGAAAAGTGAATTAGTTCAATTTTTTGCGATATATGCTGTTAAAAGCTTAATTTGAAGTCGACGATTTTAACAACTGTATCATATTTTGCACAAAATGCTATTTTCTAAGGGAATCAGTAGGTCAAAATATGATTTTATGATCAAGAATCAATTGTGAAACCTCTAGTTGAAAACAAACACAATCCGTTACCCGGAAAATGCATCTGAGGAAAAGTTATCGCTGTTTTTCTATAAGTGGGCATTTTACCCCAGGGGTGCATTATGGGCTGTTCTCCCTTACACCATATTGTCGAAGACAGTATAGCTTAATATATTGAAACAAATGAGATACCTAATCCACCACAGCCCCCATTAGTGAAAATCCCATAAGCTTTGGGTATCCTTATTCGCGGTTCCTTATTCACGCTCCCGTTACCCCGGCAATAAGGTGTCCTGACTGCAATCTCAAATTTGGGTCGTTCTTATGGGCCTTATGTGTACCTTGATTCCGTCTATTTTGGAGCACAATGAACGAATTCACATTTAAAATTCATCCATTTTGAGCACCAACATTCGTAACAAAATCCTCCCAACCTAGTAATTGGATTAATCATGTGATACTGTGGGGTGATGCATTAATTATGTCACGATATAAAGAGGGAAGGGGGAAGAGGGATGTTGAAATCAACGACAAACAATGCACAGCATAGCAAAATCTGGACGAAGGGGGGGGGGGGTATTTTTACCTCAACTTTGCGTGGCATAATTCAAGTATGGCCCCTCCGTTGCAGTAAGTTCGGTAGTAGTCCTCGTTTTTGGTCCCAAACAAACCATTGGGGGTGATTCACAAGTTTATCGATTGCCCTGTGTTACGCTTTTCCTCATACCTGTCGAAAATACTACGACCCCCCCCCCCCCCCTCCAAAGTGGATGTCATATTTGAATCACCTCTTGCAACGAATCTAAACTCTCAAAACAACAACACGGTCTCTGGATGGATGAGGTGGTGTGCCGGTGAGCGGTGGGGGTTGGTGGAGTTCAACGCTGCTGTCTGCATGCCTGCTATCCACCCTCTTCGTAATACTCTCAGATTTCCTGAGTGCGTTCGTGATTATGCTCTCCCTCGGCTCTTGCTTGCTCCCCATTTTGATCTTCCGTTCGTTGGTTCACTCATTCATGCTTTCGGTTCGGTTGGAGCTGAGTGCTATTGTACCTACCCGCTGCTACCCAGCGCAGGAGAACCGCGGTGTAGTTTCGCAGTTTCGGGGTTTTGTTTAGTTAGCATTGAGAGCTCGTACCGATTGGTCGTCTTCATATCGCCTGTATTGCTGTGGAACCGCAAAATCGCGCGTGCCTTGTCCAGAACGGGGATTGATTCTTACTTTGCACTCAGGACCTACACCTTTTATTCTTTGGGTTCCCAGTGCTCAAGGGTTGTGGCAGCACCGCTACCACACCATCCACGCCGCCCCTTGTCAACGCCGCGTTTGGACGGCAGGGTACGAGGAATTCACAAGTGTATGGAAATTAAATTAAGCCCCAACATTATACATTATGCGGCTTGATGTCGTCGTCGTCGTTTCTGCTACCGCTGGTGTGCTCCGTCGGGGTTCTACTGTTGCGAAAGTGATGATACCGAATGAAAACAAAATTGATCAGCTCCGACTTGTCGGTGTGGAGTAATACTGGAGTGCTGTTACATCAAGGATTCGTAAATACCTAGTCAAATTATTAAAAAAAAAGACTAGTTGAGGAAAATTCTGGGGGCTTAAGTTTGATGAATCATTTGATTTTCCCTTCAAAGCAGACGATCGTGGCCGTCTTTATCGTCGTCGTCGTGGTGATTGGCTTCGTGGCGAATTTACACTCGACATTGCGATGTTGATATAAAAATATATTAAAATTGTCTGTGACCAAAAGTTATCTCAGGAGTGGAGTACGAGAAGAAAAGAAAAGAAAAAAAGTTCGACGGAGAAGTATACACTGGTTGAAAAGAAATTCAACGAAAAAAAGTGTTCTGTGTAGAAAAATGCCACGCGGGTGATGATCATATGCACAGCAAAAAAAAATGTAATATCGATCAACGTAATTCAAGCTGATGTATGAAATAATGATGTAATAGCAAAAAGCAGATGCAATATTACATCAATGGATGTAATTTTGTTCGCAAAATCGATGTACATCGTACAATGTGATATTACACAACCGATGGATTGACCTGGTTGCAGCAGTTTCGATGTAATATTCAACAACTTTTTTTGCTGTGTGCGCGTTGGTGCTGAAGAATCCTGTGTCTAGAATTAATAAAATTGTTTGTTTCGGAGATGCTGCTGTAGGGTGAAAAGAAGAAATCTTGTTGCTCGGATACGTGTGGGATAAGAGCGAGGGCGAAATTGATTGCTGCCTAGTGAAGAAAGTGTACACAGTTTGTGCGAGTCTTGAATTGAGCAGAGTAACGTGGTTAAGTAAAGTTTTGAGTAGATAACTCTGCAAAAGGTATCTTCAGTGTCATGGAAATTGAATTGGAATAATTGGAATTCTGCGATTGAATAGGAATCGGTGAGTAGTTCGAGTGTATTATGTATTCGTGTTTTCAAAATTATCAATCAGCTTTACGGGTGAAGGTCGATGAGTGACAACTTATTTGTCCGCGTTCGTAAACACAATGGCAAAAAGATTGCTTGATTTAAGTATGAAAACGTAAACAAAAATATCACGTGAAGAATTTAATTCCGAAGCAGAATGTCTGCTTAAGCGTTTAAATGACTATAATAATAATGAGAATAATAAATAAACAACAGTATGGCTGTTACGACTTCTTCAATTTAAGTACCTGTGTGTGTCTTTTCCATAAATATACACTGAAGAATTTTTTATACGTTCTTTTTACGCGGTTTGCTCCTCTCGGTTGCAATTCACACGGTACTTTTCAACGATTTCTCGAAATCGGCACAACTTAACGGCAAAAAGTTTTTACCCATCCTAAAAAAAAGGAAATTCTAATTAAAAACAAAAACGCACCCATAAAAGATGTGCCTAATAAGAAATAACACTTTTACCCCTAGAAAATAGAAAATGTACCCATAACAATTGGAAACTTCACTGCAAACGAACAACAATTTTCTTAAAAAATGATAACTGTACCATAAATAAAGGAATTTGAACTCATAAACTCAATTTAACATAAGTTAACGCACTAATTCCAACCATATTATCCATTTTGAGTAGTAGGTAATCAAATGCCTTACTTAAAAACACACAATTTTTTGTGTAATTTCTGAAATTTCAATGTGATTTTTTCAGCCCCGTGGTGCCTGGTTGTACATATATGGTTTATTCATTGAAGTGACGACGCACAATAGGGCATTTATTAATTCTAGCTGGTCAAAAATATTTAACCAGTCTAACTTGTCACATATACCAACCGGTGAACACTCGTGTTTATTTCAGTTACCGTGGGGACGTAATTTGTGATCAGCCCCGGTCCCTTTCAAATTGTATAATTATTCATGTACGGTCCTTATATTTGAAATGACGTTTCACATTCATCTAGGAATGTCCGATTTTCATTCGAATAATTGATTAATCGATTAACGAACCGAAAAGTAAAATATATGTAATCGGTTATATCGTGCCGATATAAGCATTAACATCTCCATAGGATCATCACCACCGATCGTTTCAAAAATGTGCTGCCATGTCATTGGTTGAAAATGGCAGCACAGCGAACAATAATCGATTAGTTGTTAATCGAGTAATTAAAAAATGGGACACCTCTGATTTTGGTGTGTTTGTTTTGATTAAAATGAGCGCAAAATTTCATCTATACCAAGGGGGCAGCAAAACCACAAAATTACCTTGAATACGGGGGGTATTCATTCTTCATTCCTTTATTTAACGTCGGTCTCTGTTGCGCAATCTAGTGCCAATCACCGACGGACATCGATTGCCATCCATTGACGGCAATCGAATGTGCAGGAAGGCAGCTTCCACACCTGCGTAGGATACCGCACCCATTCAACACACATGGGCCGGGACCAACGGCTTTACTTCCCTTCCGAAGGAAGACGTGACCAGAGATTTTTATGCCTCAGAAAAATCCCACTGACCTCGGCTGGGATTGAACCCAGACCCATTGGGGTGTGAGAAAGCAGTCACGCTTACCACTACACCACCTGCGCCGGCTGGAGGGGGGGGGGGGGTTATAATGTTGTTTTTTTGTTTTTTTTTTTTAAATTTGTAAGTCGTTAAGTATTCTTCGGATTGAGTTACCGTCAAAGGATGAAGTGTTGGGAACTAATAATACGTTAATTAAAAAAAAACACTTACACCTGGGGCCAATAAAAAAGCACCAAAGGCCGAATTTAGGCAGCGCATTTGCTGGATGTCCTTGACTGCCCCACCGCTTCGGCGAAGTCGCTGCTTTCAATTCGGAGGATTCATTAGCTTTGGGACAAAATCGACCTTGTTGGCAGCATAAAGGGTGATACGGTCAAAATTTGGTCAAGGGAAAACGCGTGTAAATCGGTGAAATCGTTTATTTAAAAAATCAAATTAAATTTCTTTTTCAAGTTCAATTAGTATAAAATTCAGGAAAAATATTCAGTTAGGCTTCCGCTTTTCCAAATCCGAATTGCCGGGCCTTACGCTTGACCCCTGCCATCAGATTTTGTACAGCCACCTTGTCCACCTTCTTCGCCGCAGAAAGCCAGTTTGCCTTGAACTGCTGCTCGCCCTTAGCAGTTTTTTTGGTCTTCTTTAGGTTCCGCTTGACAATAGCCCAGTATTTCTCAATTGGGCGGAGCTCTGGCGTGTTGGGAGGGTTCTTGTCCTTGGGAACCACCTGCACGTTGTTGGCGGCGTACCACTCCATGGCCTTTTTACCGTAATGGCTAGATGCCAAATCCGGCCAAAACAGTACGGAACAACCGTGTTTCTTCAGGAAAGGCAGCAGACGTTTATTCAAACACTCTTTCACGTAAATTTCTTGGTTGACAGTCCCGGAAGCTATGAAAATGCTGCTTTTCAAGCCACAGGTACAGATGGCTTGCCAAACCAGATATTTCTTTGCGAACTTTGACAGTTTCATGTGCTTGAAAACATCTGCTACCTTTCCCCTTCCTTTTGCCGTATAAAACTCCTGTCCCGGAAGCTGCTTGTAGTCGGCTTTGACGTAGGTTTCGTCGTCCATTACCACGCAGTCAAACTTCGTCAGCATCGTCGTGTACAGCCTCCGGGATCGCGCTTTGGCCGTCGTATTTTGTTTATCATCGCGATTTGGAGTCACTACCTTCTTGTAAGTCGATAGTCCGGCTCGTTTTTTGGCTCGATGCACGGTTGTAGACGATACACCCAGCTTATTTGCGGCATCTCGGAGAGAGAGGTTAGGGTTTCGCTTGAAACTACCGGCAACTCTCTTTGTCGTCTCAGCGGCTTCCGGTTTTCGATTTCCCCCCGATCCAGACTTCCTGGCTGTCGACAAACGTTCCCCAAACACTTTAATTACATTTGTAACGGTTGATTTGGCAACTTTTAGCGATTTTGCCAACTTTGCGTGCGAGTAGCTCGGATTTTCGCGATGCGCGAGCAAAATTTTGATACGCTGCTCTTCTTGCTTGGACGGCATTTTGACAACTGAAGAGTGAATCCCAAAATCAAAATAGGAGCAACATTCTACACACACACACCTTCAAAATGAGGGGTGTTCAGGTTTTTTAAATGCAAAATTGAAAGAAATACGTCAAGTTGATATTGACCAAATTTTGACCGTATAACCCTTTACCACTCCAGAACCACCTTGGAGTAGTGCCTACTAGCACAGGCAGCTGGCCAAACCGCGCCAAAAAATGACTTTGTCCCTATGCTTGCGGATGAACGGCAATACACGCTTTTTCAGGCATTCTTCGATGTAAACTTAGGATGTGAACCATTTGCCGAGTTAAATTTAACTCGTGGTTAAAAGTGACATTTCGAAAGTTATTTTCTATGTTCGAAAATCCCTGTGCTGTCGATCGACCGGTTTTCGAGAAGAACTTAGCCAAGGTTGTCAAAATTTAACTTCTTGTCTGTCAGAAGTAACCACGCTCGGATAGCAGGGTTAATCGATAACTTTCCATCTATCAAATTTTAACCAAAAGTTAAAATAATCCACCAAATGGTGCAGAGCCTTAGGATGTCATCATCGAGGATGTGACGAATGGTTCCGTTTTCGGGCCAAAACTTCAAATCGCTTGCCAAATCATGGCCGTCTTCGCGAACTTGTCGGTAAACACGAACTTGAATCTTCCCGGCACATCCCTACGTCCAGTCGCGATGTAAAACTTTTGACCGGGAAGCTGCTTAAAATCGAGTTTGAAGTATGTTTCATCATCGATCAAAGTTCAGGCCTTGTGTTTCGTCAAAACACGGTCGTACAAGAGCTTTCCATGCTTTTTGGCCACGGAATTCTGCTTCATGTGCCGATTCGGAAGTTTAATGGGCTTTGTACGACTTGTATCCTTCCCTGGCAAGGATGTTCCGCACCGTTTGAAAGTTGGCGTTGTACTTTCTGGCCACATCTCGGATCGAAAGACAGGGGTTGGCTCTAACGCACCTCAACACCTTGCTGCGCAGCAGACGATCTCTGGTTCCAGTTTTTTCGTAGGGCCGCTGATTCCTTTCTACACTCAGTGTTTCCTTGTTAGTTTTGAGCACATGACAAACTGTTGTTTTCGGCATCTTCAGCACTTTAGCCAGCTTGGAACCGGACCACTCCGGATTTTCCAGGTGTTTGTGCACAATATTTTTGCGTTATTTCTGAACGCGATCGACTACTTTGATCAAACTTGCACCAGTTCAGTGCCAACATTTCAAAGAGACGTAATTGCATTGGTAAACAATGCTTTTAGCTTTCGATTTAGCTCACTCATGAAAATTAATTGCACCAGCGAATAAAGGAATGTTTTCTCTACCAGATATCATTGTTAATTAGGAGGAGTCAGCTTTTATTTGCGAGAAATCGATGGCTAAAGCCATTTTTTACAAAAGGAATTACGCCCCTTTGATATGATGGCATTGAGCTGTTCTATATAGACATGTAAACAAACCACTGTCAAATATTTTCGATTCCCAACACTAGAGGCGTGCTAGCGGCGCGCGAGGGGCGTACCAATTTACTTTTAGTCAGTTTTTACTGTTCGAAACGCTTGTCAGTACCTCAAGAACTACGCAAAGTTACCTTTAGGGTAGCCTCTTAGGTTTCATTTTATTAAATGCTGAATGGTGATGGCACTATATAATCGTACTATGAGGCAAAATGTCCTAGGTTTTGGGGATTTAAAGTCTGACTTAACGCTTTGCTTCACTATTAAGCTCTCGTACAATTTAATTTGAGAGGGTCTACACACTTGGTACTTTAAACTTGTAGTATACCCGGAAAAAATAACCATACAATTACCATAAAATAAAATACAATTACATCCAAATCTATTCCCAACAATCGATCTTATTGTGCGTATATTGTACAAGAAATTTTAACATACTGTTATAACAATAAATGTACAATACGTTCCACATAGTAA